TTACTTTCTCTTTACTTTAATAAATGTTTTGTCTATTTTTGTCTAAAAATTTTTTATCCATGCAACCCAGGGGGGGGGGTTTGCAAGTGCCCCCCCCCCTTGCCCCTACCTGCGGGCGCCCATGCCTTTAAACAATAAAATTATTTTTAAATAGTACAAAATCTGTAAGTACAAATTTTGATTTCAACTATTAAATACGGTTTTTTGTGTTTGCTACTATCCACTTAGTTGTTACATTTATTCAATTGAAACGTCACGTTGTCCTTTGTGGAGGGTTTCAATTGTGTACGCAGTCCCTATTCTATACCTTGTAAGCAATGACCAGCCTTGAAGACGCTGCCTTCCCAATAGATAACATTGCCGCGTGCCCATCATAACGATATTCCAACTGGGATCAGAGTTTGGTCCGTGTCTTGTACAACAACCAGTAGCTAGTGTTTTCTGTCTTGAAAGTCTTTGTCTAAGGTTTTTGCTGTTAATCGGTCCGTAACAAGGGTTCAGTGAAGTGTGCGTGAGTGTATAAATTTTATCTATATCCAAGGTACTTTGAGTGTATCAATGTTACCACATCCAAGGTACTTGAGTGTATCAATGTTATCCATATCCAAGGTACTTGAGTGTATCAATGTTATCCACACGGCAAGCTTCTTTTATGATCTTGATAAAACCATTTTTTTTTCTTTTCTTTTTTACAATACCATTAAAAATAATTAAACGTAAACACATGACTGTATTCTGGTGTTAATAAATCATAATTTAAAAAATTATAAATCTGAACTCTTTTAGAAAACAATATATTATTTTTAATTTGAACCCATCAGCTACAATACAGACGGCAACAGTGTGAACAACAATCTTCAGGATTGCAATAGAGCATGACTTAAAGCATAAGGAGCAAATAGTACAATTTGATGCAATCCTCAGGACATCAGCACCCGACTCAAGTTTCCGGTTGTCTTCTTGTTAAAACATTTTCAACCAATTGTACACCACTTTACACATGAACTATAAATGTAGAATAATGTCCCTTTAAATTAAACGAAAATTGGGACCCCGGCGAGATAAGAGGGGTGGCATTTTTTGGCCAACAGCAGAGTTAAAATAGTTTATTTCTAATCGAAATGATGGGGAGCAAATGGATGGGGGACAAAGGGATGGGGAACGTTTGTGTGATTTCGCAAACTAAAAAAAAAAATAGAACAAAATCAAAAAGCCAATATGTGTAACATTTTAGTGGGCTATAAAGAAATTAATGGGAGGTAATTTGTTGCATTCATTAGAATGTCATTAAGAGAGTTACGTCGCTTTGAAACAGTGGAGAGTTATTATTTAAATTAAAAACAGCATTTTCATCTTTAATCCTACAATTAAATTGATTTTAAAATGTATTAGCAAAAATTGACTTCAAACAAAGATTGACATCAAACTTAAGTAGAAAGATTGATATCAAACTTAAGTAGAAAGATTGACATCAAACTTAAGTAGAAAGATTGATATCAAACTTAAGTAGAAAGATTGACATCAAACTTAAGTAGAAAGATTGATATCAAACTTAAGTAGAAAGATTGACATCAAACTTAAGTAGAAAGATTGATATCAAACTTAAGTAGAAAGATTGAATTCAAACTTAAGGAGAAAGATTGACTTCAAACTTAAGTAAAAAGATTGAATTCAAACTTAAGGAGAAAGATTGACATCAAACTTAAGTAGAAAGATTGAATTCAAACTTAAGGAGAAAGATTGACTTCAAACTTAAGTAAAAAGATTGAATTCAAACTTAAGGAGAAAGATTGACATCAAACTTAAGTAGAAAGATTGAATTCAAACTTAAGGAGAAAGATTGACTTCAAACTTAAGTAAAAAGATTGAATTCAAACTTAAGGAGAAAGATTGACTTCAAACTTAAGTAAAAAGATTAAATTCAAACTTAAGGAGAAAGATTGACTTCAAACTTAAGTAAAAAGATTGATATCAAACTTAAGTAGAAAGATTGACTTCAAACTTAAGTAGAAACATTGACTTCAAACTTCAGTAGAAACATTGACTTCAAACTTCAGTAGAAACATTGACTTCAAACTTCAGTAGAAACATTGACTTCAAACTTCAGTAGAAACATTGACTTCAAACTTCAGTAGAAACATTGACTTCAAATTTAAGTAGAAACATTGACTTCAAATTTAAGTAGAAACATTGACTTCAGACTTCAGTAGAAACATTGACTTCAAACTTCAGTAGAAACATTGACTTCAAATTTAAGTAGAAACATTGACTTCAAATTTAAGTAGAAAAATTGACTTCAAATTTAAGTAGAGGACTTGGAATAGGGAGAATCGTTGAATTTTGAGAACACAGCTTTAGAAAATAGTTTAACTAAATCCTACTTAAACATAAAACTTTTTTCTTATATTAGAAATCTTGAAATAATAATAGGCTGACCCTAGCAGGCACCACTAACAAGTTGGGGGAAAATAATAGGCTGACCCTAGCAGGCACCACTAACAAGCTGGGGGAAAATAATAGGCTGACCCTAGCAGGCACCACTAACAAGTTGGGGGAAAATAATAGGCTGACCCTAGCAGGCACCACTAACAAGTTGGGGGAAAATAATAGGCTGACCCTAGCAGGCACCACTAACAAGTTGGGGGAAAATAATAGGCTGACCCTAGCAGGCACCACTAACAAGTTGGGGGAAAATAATAGGCTGACCCTAGCAGGCACCACTAACAAGTTGGGGGAAAATAATAGGCTGACCCTAGCAGGCACCACTAACAAGTTGGGGAGAAAATGGTTTGTTTAAATGCTTGTCAGAGATTAACAGCTTCTGACAGTTTGGGACACAAACGCCACCAAATTAATTTACAGGACAATGCTGCCAAGTTCTTGTTATATTCAAAAGTTCATCATTTAAATGCAAATTGCTTTAAGATGCGCCCTTCCTCATCCACCATTCATGCAAGCTTTACATTCCATGACAATAATTAAATGAGTGAATCAAATATGAAACTTTCTAAAGTAAGCCATTTATAGTCTTAGGACACACATACACACACAAATAAAGGATTTTTTAAAAAAACAATAATTTTATGAAAAAAAATTACAAGACATTTCAGTTCAACGGATATCAATAACTTGTTGACATAAATAATTTCACCATTTTATTATAAAGTTATTATAAATTGCTGTGAGACTGATTAATTTTTATTTTTAGAACATTTGGTAATAAAAAGAATGAATCTGGCCCCTGAACAAAGTATTTTTTTAAACTATCAGTAGCCAATACATAATAATTGTTTCTAACACTATAATATTTTTAATGTTTATGACATATTTCTAAATTAAAAAAAAAAATTGACATTTTCATTGAACTTCAAGCTGATTTAGCAGACCTGGAGACAAAATTGTCCACTTCATTTGTTCATAGTCCAACCCATGTTCACAAATCAAATGCTTTTTATTTCATTTCCATAATTTGCAGGTGCCACACCAAATGTCTAAGGCACAAGCACTGGGTTCTTAGCTACGATGTAGCATATCTGTTGTGATAGAATGGCTTACTGGGTTCTTAGCTACAATGTAGCATGTCTGTTGTGATAGAATGGCTTGTCAATCACTGAGGTATTCATTTCATTTTGTGCAGGAGGAAACATCAGACTCAGAAAATAGATTGACAAATAATAGCCCGAAACAAATTTCAAAAGACTACAAAACACATTTCAAAAGACTGCAATACACATTTCAAAAGACTACAATACACATTTCAAAAGACTACAATGCACATTTCAAAAGACTTGTTTACCGTAAACTCCATTCACCTAAAAATGTTGATTTATTGTACTACTCTACAAGAACTTTTAATCAAATTTCAAGATAAAATGTTTAATTCTGGGTCCAAACATTTTTCTTAAACATTAGCATGAGAAAACCTTTAACAAAGAATATCTTTCATCTCATTTCTGTGATTTTTTAAATTTAAATAAGTAAAAGACTAATTATTTTATTTTAAATAAAAGACAATTCATTCTCAGGATGTATCAAATTTTCACACATTAAAATGTCAGTCAAAACTCCTCTGTTTATCAAATTTGACCCCCTTCAAGACATAGGAAAGTTGGTTAAAAATGACTTGAAAGAAGTTGAAATAAACTGAAGTGTTGTCAGAGCAACAGCTAAATAGAAAATTATCTATTTTATTTTGTTTAAATCAATGGTATGTTTGTTTATGTTTTATCAAGAAAATCTTTATTTGTTTTTATTTCAAAGTAATTTCAACAAACTGTTCATAAAAATAAAAGTTAAACAAAAAAATTCTTGGGGACATTTTAATATTGGAAGAGATGACATTTTGATTTATTTTTTTTAAAAAAAGCTTTACATTCATTAATGGGGCATTTTGACAATTGTAACGGGCACTTTGGCGTTACGGACCACTTGTGTGCTGACGCTGCCGATAAACGCCCTCTGGATGGTGCCAAGGTCACGTGTCCCCATAAAGATTTGGTCAACTTTTTCCTCGTCTGCTGCTGCCAAAACGCCGTCTTCTGGCTTCATGCCTGACTTGATTATGATGTAACCTTTGATACCTGGGAGGATAGTCATACTTTAATTATTAACATGATTAAATAATAATAGATTAAGTCAGGCAAAATCAACCAAAATTTAACCTTAAAAAGTTAACCTTATCTTTAGACTTGGCTGTACACAGTACACTTATCTTTAGACTGAGCTGTACTATAACCTTTTAGTTGGCTGTACACGAACCTGTAGAATTAGCTGTCCACTGACCATAGACTTGGCTGTACACTTATCTTTAGACTTGGCTGTACACTGACGTTAGAATAGGCTCAACACTGACCTTTAGACTTGGCTGTACCCTTATGTTTAGACTTAGCTGTACACTGACCTTTTATTGTTCGTCCGTCGAGGATCGACGAGGACCATCGAGTCGTCTGGTGACTGATGACTTGCGCGGATGACTTTGTTTAAAGTGAAGAAGAGTTGCGCGGGGTCTACCTCACTCTCTCGTCCGAGCCCATCATGTCCAGTGGCAAGACTCTACGTCAAGACGACCAGGGATGGGTTCGGTTGCAGGAATTGTCATTGTTTGCGCCTTACGGGACTCCAACTCCGGGTTTGAATTCAGAGTTTCCTTCTCTTAGATGAGTTGCCGACCAAGGTTAACGAGTCTCATCCACCCGAGGTGACTGGGTGGCCAAATGGTCTAAACTGAGCAAACCTCAAGTTGGTGGTCTGGTGTTCAAGTCCAGCCAAAGGCCGGTCAAACACTGACCTTTAGAATTGGCTGTACCCTTATGTTTAGACTTTGCTGTACATTGACCTTTAGACATGGCTGTACCCTTATGTTTAGACTAGCTGCACACTGACCTTTAGACTTGGCTGTACCCTTATGTTTAGACTTAGCTGTACACTGACCTTTAGAATTACCCTTAGAAAGTACCCTTTAGACTTGGCTGTACCCTTATGTTTAGACTTAGCTGTACACTGACCTTTAGAATTACCCTTTAGAAAGTACCCTTATGTTTAGACTTAATAGCTGTACACTGACCTTTAGACTTGAGCACTTCATTGGCTCCCAAGGTTATGGCGTCCGCCTTCTGCAGGGCCTCTTTCACCTGCTTGCTGACCGACTCCACATTGACCGCCAGACCAGGGAGTCCCACACTAAGCTGGAACTGGGAACAGTAAAATATCACCACTACGTCACTCGGCCTGAAAACAGAACGTTTTTTTAACGTAATAGTTACCTACGCTTGACTAATGTCTGTCTATGGTAAATCAGAGTTATGGGACATAAAAAAACTTATCATTTGATTACTTTTTCAGCCGCCCATGATCCTTTTCACCTGGAAGTGGATACAGAACCAATGTGGATTCAGAGTTCAATTGCATATAGTGATTAAGTGGATACAAGGCCGAAAGCGTTTGGCTTCTCTTTCCATGAATCTTTTCATTACCGCCTTTGTTTTAAAGACTTTTAATGTCGAAATATCTTTACAAGAACCAAGTGATGCCACTATAAGGTTATTTACAGGAAATATCTTCACAAGAACCAAGTGATGCCACTACAAGGTTATTTACAGGAAATATCTTCACAAGAACCAAGTGATGCCACTACAAGGTTATTTACAGGAAATATCTTCACAAGAACCAAGTGATGCCACTACCAGGTTATTTACAGGAAATATCTTCACAAGAACCAAGTGATGCCACTACTAGGTTATTTACAGGAACTATCTTCACAAGAACCAAGTGATGCCACTACCAGGTTATTTACAGGAAATATCTTCACAAGAACTAAGTGATGCCACTACAAGGTTATTTACAGGAACTATCTTCACAAGAACCAAGTGATGCCACTACAAGGTTATTTACAGGAACTATCTTCACAAGAACCAAGTGATGCCACTACCAGGTTATTTACAGGAACTATCTTCACAAGAACCAAGTGATGCCACTACCAGGTTATTTACAGGAACTATCTTCACAAGAACCAAGTGATGCCACTACTAGGTTATTTACAGGAACTATCTTCACAAGAACCAAGTGATGCCACTACAAGGTTATTTACAGGAACTATCTTCACAAGAACCAAGTGATGCCACTACTAGGTTATTTACAGGAACTATCTTCACAAGAACCAAGTGATGCCACTACCAGGTTATTTACAGGAACTATCTTCACAAGAACCAAGTGATGCCACTACTAGGTTATTTACAGGAACTATCTTCACAAGAACCAAGTGATGCCACTACCAGGTTATTTACAGGAACTATCTTCACAAGAACCAAGTGATGCCACTACCAGGTTATTTACAGGAACTATCTTCACAAGAACCAAGTGATGCCACTACTAGGTTATTTACAGGAACTATCTTCACAAGAACCAAGTGATGCCATTACCGGGTTTTATACGGGAACTAAATGCTTCTATATAAAATACATTCACATCAATAAAATATAATTGTCAGGCGTTTTCTCTAAAATTAGTCCAGACATCGGAAAAAAAATTATATCATTACAATGTTTTAAATATGTGAGGCTTGTTTGGGATTTTAACACAGAATAACTTAAGTGTGTTGTTACGCACTGGGCTCTATTGTGAGAAATTAATCTCCTAGTTTAAATTTATGGCTCGTTCGAACAGTGCCTAACAAAGGATGATACCATAAAAATACAATACAAAAATACGGCACCAAAAACAGTAACAATTACAACTAATAAGATTTAATAAAAAAAACAAAAGAAATATTATTATAAATCACCAACTTACAGAGTATGGGAAAATCTTGTACCAGTCCACACTTAGTACAATGTGCCAATTAATAATGATGAATGAAGAATGCGAATAAACACATGAGTACACAAAGAATAATACACGTCTCGTGAAGTAAAAAATATCTATCAATCTATCTGAATCTCCGAAACCCCTTATTTATATAGTGGGTCTACCGAAGCGTCCAGAAACGCCTTTTACATTGTTTACGTTTCTCGTCAAATCGAGAAAGTTCCACAAGATACTATGAGACAAACTAACCATGTTTAATTGGTAGTCGGCAGTAAACACGACAGATCAAAGGACTAAGCCATGCCCATTTATGTACGTAGCGTGCGCTAGGAATCTAATTTGGGGTCAAGCAAAGTTCACGCACGGGGAAAAGTGTCCAATATAACAGTGTTAGATATTAAGATGTCCTAGTTAGGTCAATACACTTTAAATAATAAGTAAAAGAATGAGTTTTGTTAATATCAAATTAACCCCCCCCCCCACACACACACACACTTAATGGTGTCCGTCTTAATAAACTATCGAGCTGCCCAAATTTCCTCTCATTTATCCGCCACTGTTGGGGACTCCACTCACCTGTTGAAATGCTCCAGGTACCATTTAAATGCATAGTCAGATTGCTGGTTGCCGTCGAGCGCTATCAGGTGTTTCCTCATGGCCGTCAGGTGTGCACTTCTTACTCAGTTCTGTTGGGGGAAAGAATAAAACAATTGAATGCGTTGTGTCCTTGGTAATATCATGCGCTTAAAAGTGTGATAGGTAGGGCTTGGTATAATATATGATAAATAAACAGACACAAGCCAACCAAATAGACGCAAATAAAAATATCAAATCGAGACAAGCCCACCACTTAAAGCAATAATACGTCAAATGACAAGACTTCAAGGTAGAGTTCACCGGAGCACAACCACGCCACCCCCACCCCCAGGAAAATAAAATTCAAAATGACAAAACCATTTCCTCTCCTTTATTCACTAGACAGATTCCTATGTTATAATGGAACACAATCTTACAATTATCCTTCCCTCTTCGAGCCGGGGGTAATATGGACTTGATATCATCGCGATGTAAAGACAGAAACCCAATGTCTGTCCAGTCCCAGCAATGTAAGGCGAAAACCCAATGTCTGTCCATTCCCAGCAATGTAAAGACGAAAATCCAATGTCTCTCCAGTCCGAGCGATGTAAAGACAGAACCCGATGTCTGTCCAGTCCCTGTTTGACACCCTGCTAACGTTACTTTCCTCAGAAAAACCTTCCCCTACCCTTTAAACAGTTCTGACCATCAACCCTGAACGTACCATTAGCTCTCCACACTCACATCCGGTGGTACAAAATAAAAACTGCATCAGTTGGATTTGGGTATTTTAATTGTTTCAAGAAATTAAAACGTTTACCGTAAGTCCCAACATTACACACACCCGTTGGGGGTCACCGTGACCTGTCACTGACATTCTTGATTTGGTTTTAGTGGTTCGGTTTATGTGCTGAAGTTTTGAATGTTAACGTTGCAATGTTAAGTTCATAAATTGGGACGGGAGGGGGGGGGGTGGTTCAAGGATAAGCCTGGTTTCCAGTGGCGTAGCTAGCTTATAAGTGCCCCCCCCCCAGGGCGGGCCACGATTTTACCGCACCCTTCCACGATAAAAACGCTGAAGCTATCCAAAATGGCGCCCCCTCACTATTTCACTACTCTGGCAGCTGTAAATGGAATGTAAATAGAATGTAAATAGAATGTAAAGGTAAACAATGAAATGGCATGAGAACCCTAAGGAAGGATGGGTTAGGTCAAGAGATTAACGTAAGAAAATGTGCAGTACAGTGTTGGAGCCTAAATAAGTCCGGAAACATCCTGGTTGCTACATTTAGAGTGGCTAAATCAGTGTGGCTACATTAGTATGGCTACATTTAGTGTGGCTCTTGAGTGTGGCTATATGAGTAGCTAAATCAGTGTGGCTACATTTAGTGTGGCTCTTGAGTGTGGCTATATGAGTAGCTAAATCAGTGTGGCTACATTAGTGTGGCTTCATCGGGGTGGCTACATTAGATGTGGCTACATCAGTGTGGCTACATTAGTAAGGGTAAATCAAAGATGGCTACGTTTAGTGTGGCTACATTTGGTTGTTTGGCTACATTGTTGTGGCTACTTTAGTTTGAGTTCATTAGTATCGCTACATTAGAGCTACATTAGTATAGCTACACTAGTGTAGCTATAATAGTGTGACTTCATCATTTTGGCTACATTAAGTAGGCTACATCAGTGTGAAATGATTATTGTGGCTACACCAGTGTGGCTACATGAACACAGAACAAAGTAAGGAGACCGTGTGTGTGCCAACCAGTCGCATCAAACCCCGGCCTGTGCCAACCAGTCGCATCAAACCCCGACCTGTGCCAACCAGTCGCATCAAACCCCGGCCTGTGCCAACCAGTCGCATCAAACCCCGGCCTGTGCCAACCAGTCGCATCAAACCCCGGCCTGTGCCAACCAGTCGCATCAAACCCCGGCCTGTGCCAACCAGTCGCATCAAACCCCGGCCTGCATTTCTATGGTTATGAGCGTCTGTGAAGACAGAGAGAGAGATTGGAAGGAAGGAATATGGAATGGATTGTGTGTGTGTGTGTGTGTCAGGGAGAGAGATTGGAGGGAAGGAATATGGGGTGGATTGTGTGTGTGTGTGTGTGTTTGTCAGTGAGTGAGTGAGAGAGAGAGAGAGAGAGGGGGGAGAGAGACGAAGGGAGTATGAAATTAAATAACCGTATATTAAATATATCAGAAAGAAACCACTCTAGGTGGGTGTGATGATACACAAGGTAGATTGTAACAGACCATGTTATAGATTATTCAAGAACAAACCTAGTTTAATCTTGCCAAATAAAGGACGCAATGGACAGAGTTATGAATTAAATTTTTGTTTTACTTCCTCCAACGATGAAAACAAAATCTGTCTAAATTCTTCGTTTATTTATTATAATATATTCTTTATATATAATATGGTATCCTGAAATTTGTTTGAAAGAAATTTCGTCGATGGAAAATTGATCGACGGAAGTTTGATCGAATGAAAATTTGATCGAACGGAAGTTTGTCGAATTTTTTTTCTCCAGTTCACACGATGTAATTTTGCGTCAAATATCTTTTTGAGCGCATTATTTTGTTTTACCATATAGTATAGTGGGATCTTGTGAACTGAAAAAAAAAAAATTCGATTAAACTTCCATTCGATCCATGTGACCCACATACGTGACGCACCATTCCCCTCCCTCTCCTAGGTTTATACAAATTTGAAATTTTGTTCGTCTTCGCAGCCATTCCTAACCGTTTTAAAAATGCTTTCTTTCAACTGACATATAACGTCACGTGACCCTCTCGCCACGGCTGATCGCGCCTGTCTCGTGCTGACCTGAAAGGTTGTATCTCAGTTGATGACACAGACTGAGAGCTCCGGTTGGCTAGGGCGAGGGAGAGGGTGAGGCGATGGGGGTGGTGAGTGATGGGGGGAAATAAGACAAGTTGGTTGTAAAGATGAAAAACCAACCCCTTTCCTTCCAATAACCGCCGGTCCTACCTGTATGTCCTACTGTATGTCCTACCTGTATGTCCTACCTGTAGGTCCTACCTGTCGGTCCTTCCTGTCGGCCCTACCTTTATGCTCTACCTGTCAGTCTTATCTGTCAGTGCAACCTGTAGCTCCTACCTGTCGGTCCTACCTGTAGGTCCTACCAGTAGGATTTTGGAGGGGGGGGGGGCGGGCAGGACATTCCAGCACTTACTCTGATCAACGGACGGCAAGCGACCAGACGTATAAAATGTGGCAGTGGTTCAGTTCGACTGATTCGCTCTATGCTTGGGTAGAGAGTGAAGTCGCTCTACCCGGGATTTTGTAAGCATTTTGTTCTTCTTGTTTTTTAGATGTTCTTTTCTCAATTAATAAGAGATTGACATTGTCATACTAAAAAGCGGATATTAATTAATTGTTTTAAAGCTTTCGTTCATAGACGAATTTAAACGCACTAAAAGCTAGAACTTTTAATTTTTTTATTTCTTAAAATGCATTACGGAAAGAAACTTCTGTACAGAAAATATTTTCAAAAAATAAATAAAACATTTCAGTTTCCTCTACAGTATTTCGAACCCATTGGCTTCACAAAGTGCCTTACTCCCAATCTGGATAGACTTGCTTTGGGTCATGAATGTTTTTAAGATATAATTTCTTGAAATTCATCCAGCCAAGACTATGTACAACTTCCTTCCAAGATAACCTCCAGACCACATGTTGACCTTGAATTACGCACCGTCTGCTATCGATAAATACTTGTAGATATCGTTTATAAAATAACACTCTACTCCAGACTTTCACTTGACTCAGAATACCCGCTGCCATAAAACAAATTAGACCAATAAACTGGAATTTCGCAGTGGTTCTCAAGCTACTACAGGCCGAGATGTTCATATTTGTTTACAGTCTGTTTACAAACAGCCCCTCACATTTGAATAAAAACACAACGAAATAAGTGATGGCCGTACAGCACGATGACTAAAAAAAAAATAAAACATCATTTTATTAAACGATTTTAATCATCATAAACGCAAAGCTAATCTCTTACTGTGGCTTAAGACTTCTTTCACCAATACTTTCTATTTAACAATCTCTTACTGTGGCTTATGTTACATTTCACCAATACTTTCTACTCACCAATCTCTTACTGTGGCTCATGTCACCTTTCATCAATACTTTCTCTTATAAAAGATCGGAATTGAACAAAAGCAAGTTTAAAATGGAGTCTGGCTCTTGGGGCGAAACTGAAGGGTTCAGCGGGTACGCAATGCCCTGATTAAGTCCCCGTGGTTTAAAGTGGCTGTGTGTGCTTGACCAAGACGTGAGTACTTCAACCACCCATTAACACGGACACAGTGTGTGTGTGCTTGACCAAGGCGTGAGTACTACAACCACCCATTAACACGGACACAGTGTGTGTGTGTGCTTGACCAAGGCGTGAGTACTACAACCACCCATTAACACGGACACAGTGTGTGTGTGTGCTTGACCAAGGCGTGAGTACTACAACCGCCCATTAACACGGACACAGTGTGTGTGTGTGCTTGACCAAGGCGTGAGTACTACAACCACCCATTAACACGGACACAGTGTCATTAGGATGCTTAAACCCACTTGTCCCCATGAGTGGTATGTCTTCATCATGCAACAAACAGAAAACATTTATAATAAATAGGCGACTATCATTGGAAAATAGGCGACTTTCATTGGAAAATAGGTGACTATTATTGGAAAATAGGTGACTATCATTGCAATGTTTACAATATTTATGTCTCTCCCCCCTCCCCCAAAGATGCTGGCGAATTGCTACTTTGAAAACTGGAAAATGAACGAATGTCCTGGAATGTACAGAATTGTGTTAGCGTTTTGACAAGACAGATTTCTATAAATAGCACTGACTTCAACCATATCGCTCATTAGATTTATAACTGGCTGGTATTTTACGAGCATCCGTTTGACTGTGGAAAAAAAAAATATTGTATAATAGCATGTGTACAATAAACGGAAGTGTTTATGGGATTTAGTAGGTCATTTGAAGGTGAATAACAGGGATGCGGGCCATTAGTTGGTAATCAGTCAAACCATAGACTGAGAGGACAAACTGGTAAAGGAGTTGAAGGTGACATGACTCAAGGGCAAGGTCATAAACTCTGAAGTGCCCGAGGGTGGGGAACGGGCGGCGTGTTTGTATGGGGGAGTGGGGGTGTTAAAGGGGGGGGGAGTCAATGTCAGGGGTGTGGGAGTCAAAGTCAGGGGAGAGGGAGTCCGTGTCAGGGCTGTNAGAGGACAAACTGGTAAAGGAGTTGAAGGTGACATGACTCAAGGGCAAGGTCATAAACTCTGAAGTGCCCGAGGGTGGGGAACGGGCGGCGTGTTTGTATGGGGGAGTGGGGGTGTTAAAGGGGGGGGGGGTTAGTGGCAATTACACCTTAAGGCACTTCAGTCTGAGGCACTCATACAACCAATATCAAGTACCTAACCTGTTATTTGTAATATGTAAATTTTAAACACAAGTATTTACTATAATAAATAATTAAATAGCGAAAAACTAATATTCATTGACCAAAGATCATGTCAGGATTTTACTTAATAATGGAAGGCTCCTCCCCGTGGGGCGGAGCTGAAAACCAATGATTATTGTAAAAACTCAAATATGGTGAATATCTCCTTATTCCAGAATATGCTTAGTACGGGAAATAGGCAAATAACGGACAATGGGATAGGCATCGGCAATAGACTTAGTACAGGGCAATAGATCTAGTTCGGGCAATAGATTAGATATTGGTAAAGGATCTAGTACGGGCAATGGATCTAGCATGGGCAATAGATCTAGTACGGGCAATAGATCTAGCACGGACAATAGATCTAGCACGGGCAATAGATCTAGCACGGACAATAGTCGTAGAATAATTACAGAATGGGCTCCAGTTCGTCTGTACGTTTTAATATTTGACAATTTCTACTTGCAACAACACAACAAAAGGGAAGGGAGGTCATTGTTGCCTTTGACCTCCCTGTCTCGTGCAATGTGATCTCCCGAGATTTAGTTTCCAATCACGTTCTTGGTAAGCAATCCCATAGAGAAGTACGAAGAACCTGCCCCCTTCCCCCCAGACCTGCCCCCTTCCCCCCAGACCTGCTCCCTTCCCCCCAGACCTGCCCCCTCCCCCCCTTGCCCCCCTCCCCCCCGCCCCACCCCCTTCCCCCCCCTCCTGCCCCCCCCCCCCCCCCCCAGACCCTACCGTTGTTTCCCATGTTTTGATATATTTATTTCAAGAGTTTCTTGTATGTTATTGTAAAATAACTTACCAAATTTACTGTAAAATGATTTTCACCATTGCTACTGTAGTATGATTTTGGCATTATTACCGTAACATTACTTTACCATTTTTACTGTAACATGATTTTACCCATGTTGCTGCAACATGACTTACAAGTTTTACTGTAAAAGGATTTTCACCAATGTTACTGTAACATGATTTTAACAATGTTAGTGTAACATGATGGTACTATATGTCACAATGATCTAGACAATATAGCAATGGTGAGTCTGGATATTTACTTTTAGGGGCGCCCTTCCCCCAAACGACCTTTTATCCTGACTTCCTCCACCACACCCACTCAAGTGTCATTTAATTGACATCAGTCATACTTACACGTCATGTAATGTCGACTCTGGTGAACGAGATTTTTGGGGTGTTGTTATATTACTTTGGTATTTTACTTTGTAGTAAACGTTTGACCGTATGGTAAATTGACTTGGACTGACTCTATGATGCATTGACTTAAACTGACCCTAATGGTGTAGTGACTTAGACTGACCCTATGGTATACTGACTTGGACTGGCCCTATGGTGTATCAACGTTGACTGATCCCATGGTGTATTGACTTGGACTGACCCTATGGTGTATTGACTTGGACTGACCCTTTGGTGTATTGACTTGGACAACCCCAAAGGTGTATTGACTTTGACTGTCTCTATGGTGTATTGACTTGGACTGACCCAATGGTGTATCAACGTTGACTGATCCCATGGTGTATTGACTTAGACTGTCCCTATGGTTTATCGACTTGGACTGACCCTATGGTGTATTGACTTGGACTGTCCCTATGGTTTATTAAAGTTGACTGACCCCATGGAGTATGGACTTGGATTGTCCCTACGGTGTATTAACTTGGACTGACCCTACGGTGTATGACTTGGACTGACCCTAGCTTCCATGTATCAATGAATTTCTGTGTAACAAGGGATAACAACTTTATTTTGTGACTTGGGAATAATATACCCTAACATGGCTGACCAAACATAGATCATGGCTGACCAAACATAGATGATCAAACATAAATGACCAAACTAAGATGGCCAAACTAAGATGACCAAATATAAATGACCAAACATATATGTACTCAGTACTACTAATATAAAACATGTGGAGATGTGGGAGGGTGGTTTTAATTCAAACTTGTTATTCAATGTTTAATTCAAACTTGTCATTCAATCTTTAACTCAAACTTGTTATTCAATCTTTAATTCAAACTTGGCATTCAATCTTTAATTCAAACTTGTTATTCAATGTTTAATTCAAACTTGTCATTCAATCTTTAATTCAAACTTGTTATTCAATCTTTAATTCAAACATGTTATTCAATCTTTAATTCAAACTTGTCATTCAATCTTTAATTCAAACTTGTCATTCAATCTTTAATTCAAACTTGTTATTCAATCTTTAATTCAAACTTGTCATTCAATCTTTAATTCAAACTTGTTATTCAATCTTTAATTCAAACTTGTCATTCAATCTTTAATTCAAACTTGTCATTCAATCTTTAATTCAAACTTGTCATTCAATCTTTAATTCAAACTTGTCATTCAATCTTTAATTCAAACTTGTCATAAATCTTTAATTCAAACTTGTTATTCAATCTTTAATTCAAACTTGTCATTCAATTTTTAATTCAAACTTGTTATTCAATCTTTATTTCAAACTTGTCATTCAATCTTTAATTCAAACTTGTCATTCAATCTTTAATTCAAACTTGTTATTCAATGTTTAATTCAAACTTGTCATTCAATCTTTAATTCAAACTTGTTATTCAATCTTTAATGCAACCTTCCACTAACTGTCCAGATGTTGGCCCAGATGTTGGCCGGATCCCACACCTCTGTGGATTACTGGTATGAGTTTCTTTCCACCACCGTGCCCACCCTAGGCCTGAGAGCACACTGTAGCCTACTCAAAGACCCTGTTAGACCAATTGTTTAATGGGTGTAACACAGCAGTCTACCTGCTTGCCCACCATAGTATGTTTCCCCCTTATTTAATTGTTAATGATCATTCTAAACATTAATGCTCCTAATTGTTAATGGCGTGGGAAGGGCATGGAGGGGTGGGGGTGGAGGGGGTGGAAAATCTGGGCAGAATTTTTATCTATATTTTGAGAGTCGCCAGTTTCGGCCAGATGCAGAGTTTTTTTTCTGTCGGGGAGGGGGGGGGGAAATCTTGGCCCATCCCTTAATGCCTCTAACCCTGGCTACGCCACTGGTCATATTAAATCACCCCCCCCCTATATAATGCTGTAGGATGCGACACTGTCTACAACAGAAGACAGATCATGAATAAAAGTGTCACGTGGTTCAGACTTGTCATGCTTCAAGTAGCTGTTTCCGTGATAGGTATCTGGCTATCAGGGGTTCTAAGCACGTGACATGAGCGAGCCCCCCGTGGAATATGGCCGGAGATAAATCTCAACTTCAGCAAAAGATGTCTGGCTGTTAAAATGAGAATGAGATTCGGTAGTTCATTGAGAATATGTGTCACGTCCAGCCTACGGTAGCCATTCGAAGTTTTAAAACAAAACTATTTTAGAGTTGGTCCTTGTGTGTCAGTCCCATTTCAAGCTTAGCCACCCACTCCCTTTCAATGGGCAACCGGTATTTCGGGTAAAGCGGGGTGTAAACCTGTTGTGTATATTATAATAATTCAGTAGATCAATTCAGGAGATATATTTAAATTTATGACCATAATGTGGATCACATTAAAACACTATTTTATTCGGCAATGTAGTCTGTAAGCACCACCACTAAAACAATGTAGTCTATAAGCACCACCACAAAAGCAATGTTGTAAATTTGCACCTAACCGCCACCCCCCCCCCCCAAAAAAAAAAATAAGGTCATGTTGTCTATTAGGAAGTATAGGGGTCCACACAGGCAAGGAAGTGATCTAAATCTAAAACAAAAGCAGGTACTTTGAGAGCTGTAAGGGGTATCCCCACCCCAGCCAGCAGACGGTAGTGCGCAAGGCTGACGAACCTGTTACGTCAAATGCAATGTTACGGAAGCTAAATCACAAACGAAAAAATGGACTGATATTTATGGATTTCGACCTAAGAATAAACAAGGGGGTAACTTATGGATGGTGACCTAAGCCTGGACATGGGGGTAACTTATGGATGGCGACATATGCCTGGACATGGGGGTAACTTAAGGATGGCGACCTTTGCCTGGACATGGGGGTAACTTATGGATGGCGACCTATGCCTGGACATGGGGGTAACTTAAGGATGGCGACCTATGCCTAGAATGTACCAAGCATTCAGGAGCGGTGGCCCGCCTCTTTATGCCGGATTGTAGAGCCGCTGAAGTGATCTACGGACAGAAACCTGGGCTCACCGGTCGACCAAGACTGAGATGGATTGACATTGTGGATGACTTACACCAGTTGGTGAGACAAGCTTGGGATCCAAGTATGTATGGAGGCGGACAGCCATGGATCTATTCACATGGGGTAAGTATCGGGTGGATCAGGCCAGGGCCCTACATCGGCTGAAGCGCCACTGATGTTGCTGCTGATGATGTATATCAGCACACCAAATTCAGCCTATTTGTATATTCGCACCTCAACTACAACCATGCAAGCTATAAGTGGGTCGGTGTTGGAATAGACGGCAAATACAATGTTGGACGACAATATGATGACATATAAGAAATTTGAACCAGGAACTTTCCTGTAGAGAAATTAAAATGAGGTGTTTCTTTGTTTAAAAAGAAAAAAAAAACTAGCAACGCTTTGTTTCATGTGTTAAAGGTAACATGTGTTAAAGGTAACATTAAAGGTAACATTAAAGGTAACATTAAAGGTAACATTAAAGGTAACATTAAAGGTAACATTAAAGGTAACATTAAAGGTAACATTAAAGGTAACATTGTCTCAGTTTACAGCAGTCGAACTTCAAGTACCTATCTTTCCATCCGTCCATACACAAGTTTAATCACCACTTAAACCACCAGTGTTACAATGCTGTAACGTCAAAGGGTCGCAGTTATGGATGAGTGGGGTTGATCGGGGTCGGGGTTTGATTGGGGTGATGGGTTGATGTGCAAGTGGGGTTGATGGTGTTGTGAGGTGCCAAGTCATTACGTGAAAGGAACCATGACACTAGTTGCAAGACTCTAGTTGTGGCTAATATGAGGGCTAATATGTGGGCTAATATGTGGGCTAATATGTGGGCTAATATGGTGACTAAATTCACATTACATAAGCTGTAAATAATTTGTTTGATACTTTCCAGAGCTGGAAGTAGTGGCGTAGCTAAGGGTGGTGTCACCCGGTACGGTAAACTCACGATGTCACCCCCCCCCCCCCAACACACTTAAATTGGCGTTGAATCGTGGTAAAACGATAATTTTTTCTGACCTAATAATAGGGTCACTTCATTTCTAACGCATCAACCTTCACTTTTAATAAAGCACGCATTTGGATTGGTTAATTTATGTGGAAAATATAAGTGTATTCGGTATTCCTTTAATGTAATTTGGTTAGACCGAGCTGTGTGTGATCTGTAAATATGAAATTGTTCAATTTGGTGTCACCCCGTGAGATAGTGTCCCCCGGTGCGATCCGCCGCCAGTACCCCCGTAGCTACACCACTGGATGGAAGCTATCACAAATTTTGTCACCTGGTCGCCTATGCCCAGATTGACATAAAATATATATTTAAAAAGAGAGTAAAATGCAAAGTTTTGAATCCAATAGGGCTTGTCATTTAATGGCGGTCGGTCTCTAATCTGCAAGAGCGCCAAATTCAACCTGCCAACAGTGCCAGTGTCAACCTGCCAACAGTGCCAGTGTCAACCTGCCAATAATACCAGTGTCAACCTGCCAACAGCGCCAAAGTCAACCTGGCAACAGTGCCAGTGTCCGCCTGCCAACAGCACCAATGTCAGCCTTCCAACTGCAGCAATGTTAACCTGCCAACAGCACCAACGTTAAACTTGCTAACAGCAATAATGTCAAACTTTTAACAGCACCAGAGTCAACCTACCAACAGCACCAATGTCAACCTGCCAACAGCACGAATGTCAATCTGTCAACAGCACCAATGTCACCCTTCCAACAGCATCAAAGTCAAACCTCCCAACAGCACCACTATCAACCTGCCAACAGCATAATTGTCAAACCTGCCAACAGCACCAATGTCAACCTGCCAACAGTACCAACGTCAATCTGTCAACAACACCAATGTCACCCTTCCAACAGCATCAACGTCAAACCTGCCAACAGCTACGTTATCAACCTGCCAACAACATAATTGTCCAACCTGCTAACATCACCAATGTCAAACCTGCCAACAGCACCAATGTCAAACCTGCCAACAGCGCCAGTTTTTCTCCGACTCACATTAAAGTTTCCCAGCAAAGCACGTCCCCAGCAAAGAACGTCCACAGCAAAGCACGTCCCCAGCAAAGAACGTCCCCAGCAAAGCACGTCCACAGCAAAGCACGTCTCCAGCAAAGCACGTCCCCAGCAAAGCACGTCCCCAGCAAAGCACGTCCCCAGCAAAGCACGTCCCCAGCAAAGAACGTCCCCAGCAAAGAACGTCCCCAGCAAAGAACGTCCCCAGCAAAGAACGTCCCCAGCAAAGAACGTCCCCAGCAAAGAACGTCCCCAGCAAAGAACGTCCCCAGCAAAGAACGTCCCCAGCAAAGAACGTCCCCAGCAAAGAACGTCCCCAGCAAAGAACGTCCCCAGCAAAGAACGTCCCCAGCAAAGAACGTCCCCAGCAAAGAACGTCCCCAGCAAAGAACGTCCCCAGCAAAGAACGTCCCCAGCAAAGAACGTCCCCAGCAAAGAACGTCCCCAGCAAAGAACGTCCCCAGCAAAGAACGTCCCCAGCAAAGAACGTCCCCAGCAAAGAACGTCCCCAGCAAAGAACGTCCCCAGCAAAGAACGTCCCCAGCAAAGAACGTCCCCAGCAAAGAACGTCCCCAGCAAAGAACGTCCCCAGCAAAGAACGTCCCCAGCAAAGAACGTCCCCAGCAAAGAACGTCCCCAGCAAAGAACGTCCCCAGCAAAGAACGTCCCCAGCAAAGAACGTCCCCAGCAAAGAACGTCCCCAGCAAAGAACGTCCCCAGCAAAGAACGTCCCCAGCAAAGAACGTCCCCAGCAAAGAACGTCCCCAGCAAAGAACGTCCCCAGCAAAGAACGTCCCCAGCAAAGAACGTCCCCAGCAAAGAACGTCCCCAGCAAAGAACGTCCCCAGCAAAGAACGTCCCCAGCAAAGAACGTCCCCAGCAAAGAACGTCCCCAGCAAAGAACGTCCCCAGCAAAGAACGTCCCCAGCAAAGAACGTCCCCAGCAAAGAACGTCCCCAGCAAAGAACGTCCCCAGCAAAGAACGTCCCCAGCAAAGAACGTCCCCAGCAAAGAACGTCCCCAGCAAAGAACGTCCCCAGCAAAGAACGTCCCCAGCAAAGCACGTCCCCAGCAAAGCACGTCCCCAGCAAAGCACGTCCCCAGCAAAGAACGTCCCCAGCAAAGCACGTCCACAGCAAAGAACGTCCCCAGCAAAGCACGTCCACAGCAAAGAACGTCCCCAGCAAAGAACGTCCACAGCAAAGCACGTCCACAGCAAAGAACGTCCCCAGCAAAGCACGTCCACAGCAAAGAACGTCCCCAGCAAAGAACGTCCACAGCAAAGAACGTCCCCAGCAAAGAACGTCCCCAGCAAAGCACGTCCCCAGCAAAGAACGTCCCCAGCAAAGAACGTCCCCAGCAAAGAACGTCCCCAGCAAAGAACGTCCCCAGCAAAGAACGTCCCCAGCAAAGAACGTCCCCAGCAAAGAACGTCCCCAGCAAAGCACGTCCCCAGCAAAGCACGCCCCCAGCAAAGAACGTCCCCAGCAAAGCACGTCCCCAGCAAAGCACGTCCCCAGCAAAGAACGTCCACAGCAAAGAACGTCCACAGCAAAGAACGTCCACAGCAAAGAACGTCCCCAGCAAAGCACGTCCCCAGCAAAGCCCGTCTCTCAAGTTTGCATTAACATCAAAGCGGTAATTACATCCACACTATTCCCATAACCCCCAGGGTCCCGGTGTTGCCATTAGACAACAGTAAGTCACGTCTCCTAGATCATGTTTGTGTCATTCCAAGTTGTCATAGTGCCACTGTACTGACGTCAGTGTTCAAAAGGTAATGATCATCTAGGGCAGTGTTTCCTTTACTTTGAAGTTTGGCCAACCAGTGGACGCGTTTTCAAATTGCCAGATATACTAATTTATTTTTTTGTCTTTTCATGTGACCATAATTTTTCCTGTCGGGCGGACCTGCGACGCAAGACTCGCGGACCGGTGCCGGTCCACGGATACCACTTTGAAAACACAGATCCACAGGACAACCACAGGGCATCCACAGGGCATCCACAGGACATCAATGTAATACATTAGTTCCCCGATTTTAAAATAGAACGCAACCGAAATAGGTTGGCTGCCACGAGATGTCAGACAGTTCACTGTTTGCTCTTGTCATGGACATATGTGGGCAAATATTTGGGACTTTCATATGCTCTGCTCAAATGTAGCCACACATAGAGATAAGTACGGCTACAATGGCGTCTATGTTGATATGAATCGGGATATCTCTTGTATATATTTTGCTCCTGGTGTGGCTTCTTCCTTTTCCCACCCGGCCCTAACCCTACCAAACATGTTTTATATTAATAGTACTGAGTGAAACAAAACCAAAGCTGTCAAGTAGTGAGCGGTCAGGCGTGACGGTTGACCTCAGGAAAAGGTTGAATCCTTAGGGAGGTGACTGGTAATCTATTAAAAGTCACGGGTAGGGTGTAGGACTGTCTGTAGGACTATTGTTTAAAGCCCGGCAGGTAGGGTGCAGGACTGTCTGTAGGACTATTGTTTAAAGGCCGGCAGGTAGGGTGTAGGACTTCTGTAGGACAATTGTTTAAATACCGGCAGGTAGGGTTTAGGACTATCTGTAGGACAATTATTTAAAGACTGGCAGGTAGGGTTTAGGACTGTCTGTAGGACAATTGTTTAAAGACCGGCAATTAGGGTGTATGACTGTCTGTAGGACTATTGTTTAAAGACCGGCAGGTAGTGTGTAGGACTGTCTTTAGGACTATTGTTTAAAGACCGGCAATTAGGGTGTATGACTGTCTGTAGGACTATTGTTTTAAGACCGGCAGGTAGGGTGTAGGACTGTCTTTAGGACTATTGTTTAAAGACCGGCAGGTAGGGTGTTGGACTGTCCGTATGACTATTGTTTAAACGCCGGAATATATTACAGAAAATGTGAAAATAAATCGTTTGTTTGGGGGGGGGGGTAACCCTTGGACCCCCCGGGTACTGTCTCAAACTACCCGGACCCGGTGTCAACTGCCCCTGGTTTAGCCTTCCTATAGAATATGTGTTCACTGATCCCCATAATCCCCATAATCACAAGTTCAGTGATAAAATATTCAAAGCTTTCCGTTAACTGTCTTTGGGTAATTTTAAACCAAGTTCCCAACATTCTAAACTGCTGAGATTCACAAAGCAGATTTCCCAATGGCATTTGATATGCGACGTTTTGAACGAAATTGACACAGTCAATTTGACACAGTTAATTTGACACAGTTAATTTGACACAGTCAATTTGACACAGTTAACTTGACACAGTCAATTTGACACAGTCAATTTGACACAGTTAATTTGACACAGTCAATTTGACACAGTTAATTTGACACAGTCAATTTGACACAGTCAATTTGACACAGTTAATTTGACACAGTCAATTTGACACAGTTAATTTGACACAGTTAATTTGACACTGTTAATTTGACACAGTTAATTTGACACAGTTAATTTGACACAGTCAATTTGACACAGTCAATTTGACACAGTCAATTTGACACAGTCAATTTGACACAGTTAATTTGACACAGTCAATTTGACACTGTCAATTTGACACAGTCAATTTGACACAGTCAATTTGACACAGTCAATTTGACACAGTCAATTTGACACAGTTAGTTTGACACAGTCAATTTCACACAGTCAATTTGACACAGTCAATTTGACACAGTCAACTTGACACAGTCAATTTGACACGGTCAATTTGACACAGTCAATTTGACACGGTTAATTTGACAGTCAATTTGACACAGTTAATTTGACACAGTCAATTTGACACAGTTAATTTGACACAGTCAATTTGACACAGTCAATTTGACACAGTCAATTTGACACAGTCAATTTGACACAGTCAATTTGACACAGTCAATTGGACACAGTCAATTGGAAACAGTCAATTTGACACAGTTAATTGGACACAGTCAATTTGACACAGTTAATTTGACACCTCGATTGTTTGAACTCTCCTCCACGCTATGCTCTACATATCAGTTGGTTATTTTTATTGTTTCTTAACACCGTATCCCTGGCGGCCGCACTTGGTTGACTGCAGTCTGTCCCCAAACGCTGATGTTATCTCAGATGGTCATTTCGTTCGAGTCCCTTCAATATCCGGAGAACATTATGAACCCCATCCGGCCCATCAAAATTTCAAGTAGAGATGTACAACAACAAATCACGTCAACCATTCGGGCTAATTCAGTTGCTATGGACGCTATCAGCCTACTCCCTGACTACTGTTTGTTGATTAATTTATGTAACCAACGGACAGCTAATGGAACGTGCTAGATTTATGACATGAAAACTAATGGCGAAGGCGAGCTTTTAGGCGCCACACGCTATACCAGCGGTTCTCAACCTGTGGGTCGTACGACCCTTACACAGGCGTCACCCAAGACCATCAGAAAACGCAAATTTATGAATTAGTAACTAAAATAATTTTATGGTTGGGGGGTCAACACAACATGAGGTATTGTATTAAAGGGTCATGGCATTAGGAATGTAGAGAACCACTGCGCTAGACCCTCTACCAGGGAGATAACAGCATTACTCTCAGAGTAAAGGTGAAGGGGCGTGACAGTAGGCGCATATCCCTGGATGAAGTTAGGGAGTCTAATAAGGGGATGGAGCCCACAGGTGGGGTGTGCCTTAGGGTGCCTACAGGTGGGATTTTGCCTTAGGGCGGAGGGTGAAAATTTTCCGATCTATATGTTCCCCGACACAATGACATTACGTAAGAGACCAAAGAAGAGCTTTACAGACTAAAACTCTTTATATACTTTAACAGATTATTACATGTCTGTATAAATGTAGTCACGCATAGAAATAAGCATAGCTAACAACAACGTGACCTATGGTGATAGGAATTGGTGGAGTCCTTGATCACGGGAATTAATTAATTTCTAGGAATAAGTATAATACAATGATTCAGCCACGTCAATGGCTATGTCACATCAAAACACATTCTATGCCATGAACTTTTCAAAGTTGTAAATGTAGCCCAAAAATCACCGTCTTTCACATCAGGGCGGAACAACAACTTAGAAGTGTATTACACGAGCGATGAGTTATGAGGAGTACATGATCGCGAATGCCCCATTCCCCTGGGAACTGTGGCCCCGAAAATACCGATAGCAAAGCGAACACCCAGAAATGTCAGCAGGGCTTTTTCTCCAATTTGTGTTCGGCGATTTCCCCCGGTATGACGTAATACGAGTTTGTTTATTTGCAGCGGCCATCTTTGGCGCCAAAATAGCACATTTTGGCTGGCTACGAGTTATCCTTCACGGAGACCACTATGTCACTGTGCTGCATCTTTCGTTGAGACCACGCTGGCATTGTGCAATCCGACTAAAACGATCTAAACATGAGAAAGAATGTGACGTCAGCAGTGGCGTAGCTAGGGTAAGTGTCACCAGGGGCGGGTACAAGTCCTCTCCTATGGTAAAAACCCTTTCCTTTGGTCGAAATTTCCGCCCCTCCATATTATTTTTTTAAAAACTGTCGCCCGAGTATAAACGCATCCTCCACATCCACCGCAACCACCAGATCCACCGCAACCACGACATCCACCGCAACCACCAGATCCACCGCAACCACCAGATCCACCGCAACCACCACATCCACCGCAACCACCACATCCACCTTTGACTCCGCTGCCCACCAGCACACAGTACACCTATACAAGGTGGTTAAGTCGGGACAAAATGACGGCAAAATCGACAAACTCGTCTCTGAGAGCAGGAGTGTACTAAGAATGTTCTAAGCAAATGTTCTAAGAATGTTCCAAGAATGTTCTAAGAATGTACTAAGAATGTTCTAATTCTAAGAATGTTCTAATAATTTCCTAAGAATGTACAACGAATTTTCTAAGAATGCACTACGAATGTACTAAGAATTTTCTAAGAAAGTTCTAAGAATGTAATAAGAATGTGCTAAGAATGTAAAGTAATCAACACAGAGGTGTGTCCTTTTCTAGCCTGTGATCATTAAATGAAATATTCGGAAAAGAAAAAAATGGAAATCGTAGATTTGAAACATCACAGTTTTTTGGGGGGGAAATGTGTGTGTGTATGGGGGGGGGGTGGAAGGACCTCTTCCATTAATTATGTGTTGCAGTTACCGCGAAACATAAAAAAAAACAACATATATACGTTGTAATTTGTCAATGTGTAGTTTAGATACGCATCTTCACCATGAGTCATCGTGGTATTTGCGGTGGCCAAAGACTGGATTTTTTGGCTGACTTTGGGTAAGAAAAATGTTTGAGAACCACTCTATCAACTCTCCGCCTCCAAGGACAAAAAAAGAAGAGGGATATCCCGTGACTGTCATTAGCGGGTATGGGGGAGGGAGGGTAGGGCTTGAAACAAAATGATCAACTGATGCCGTACGTCTGTCTTGGAGATGTCCTCGGCTGTCGAACAATAGTCGGGGCTAAATGTCGACGGTGGTACTATATAGGACCCAACGTCTCTCGGGGTAATGGTCAGTCTGGTCACTCCAACTTGATTTACAGCCTGGGATCATTAGGCACTCCCGCGACAGTTGTTATTTAGAGATGGATCTTCGGATTGTAGCAAAACTACATTAGTCCAAAGATGGCAGGGCCAGGAGGTCACTTGAGCTGGAGAGATTACTGTGGTAAAGAGGGTCGGAAATAGCTTACAGGAGGGTGAGGTCACTGTGGTAAAGAGGGTCGGAAATAGCTTACGGGAGGGTGAGGTCACTGTGGTAAAGAGGGTCGGAAATAGCTTACGGGAGGGTGAGGTCACTGTGGTAAAGAGGGTCGGAAATAGCTTACGGGAGGGTGAGGTCACTGTGGTAAATAGGGTCGGAAATAGCTTACGGGAGGGTGAGGTTACTGAGGTAAGGAAAGTCAGTCTATCTGACAGGAGGGTGAAGTTACTAGGGAAGGGCAAAAGAAAGAGTCAGATGGGGATCTGACAGGAAGGCGAGGTTACTAGGGGGGCAAAGAGAGTTAGATGAGCATCTGACAGGAGGGAAAGGCACAATGCTGAAAGTAATGGTAGCTTTTTACAGCAAGTCTGAGCTAAAACATGATTAGTTAGGGGTTATTTATTGGCTAGTTGGGGTTAGTAAGGGGCTAGTTAGGGGTTAGTTGGGTGTTAGTTAGGGGTTAGTAGGACTCTCAACACAACTTTCATGGGAGACGGAGGGGAGAGGGTGGTAGAGAAAGCTGAGATGTGTCCATGTAAGGAAATTTAGCTTATCTTGGAGCAAATGTCCATGACCCCATACAAATCCACATGTCTTGTATTTTAATGAATCATTCTGCATTTCTTAAAACTGCTTTATTCTGAGAGTTACATGAGGAACGAGACTGTCCAAGGTACAGAAAAGTCCTATAACTGTTAATTAGAAAGTCATTAAATCTCTTTATGAGAAAATCATGAAAGCTTGTTGCATTTAATAAACATGGCAGATATTTTTGGGGATTTCATCGCTCAACTAATAAGTATCTTTAACAACCGTGGTTTGGTGTGGGGAGGGGGTGTTGATGAAGCTGTAGCGGTATTACCTCCCCCCCCCCCACCTCGACTCATGTCGCTTTTAATTCCTGAGATGTAAGAATTAACTCTGAATCAAGCCAATTAAACCAAATGGCACAGGCCTCTGCACCGTGCTGACATACTGGTTGATCTGCCCTTAGGTTCATCTCACTGAAAGTGCTTAGGAAGGGGGTGTGGAGGGGCGGGATTTCCGGCCAACTCCAGAGGTTTTATTTTTGAAAAAGAGGGCACGCGAAAATCTTTGCACGCCCTAGGCGGCAGGTATCCGCAGTGGCGTAGGAAAGAGGGGGGTGAGGTGAAAGTTTTGGTCGGTTCCCGGGAGGAATTTTTTTCCTTTATATTCGGGCAACAGCAGGAATTTTTTTTTTCGTGGCAGGGGCGGAAAAAAGCTTGGCCCACCCCGGGTGCCTCTAACACTAGCTACGCCACTATGTAACGCAACTCATTTGAAGAGAATGGGAGAGCGCCGCCCCTGTCAGATAAATTAAATGCTTGTGAGCCAGTTCCATATTTCTGATCGGTGCGAGTCAGCCCCTCCCTTCTTCCTCCCTTCCCCCCCCCTTTTTTTTTCCACCCCCCCCCCCTTTTTTCATCCCCCCCCCCTCAACCCTTGGATAAAATCAAACTTCACAGGCATGAACCCCCAAACTTCAACACAGAGACTTAACCCCACTAACATCATGTCGACATGTTTAACGGAGTTGACACCAGGACCTGGGGCTCCCATAGTACGTGCCCACTACGGCGTACAGACTTCGTAGGTCGATCTGACCTTTGACCTTACACCCACGCCTACAGTCGCTTAATTTTTTAACAAGCCAGGATTAGAGCTAAAGCTTCATACGTGACACCAGGAAATCTCATAGTGCTGTATGCGTCTAAAAAAGAATTACTTTTTTTTTTGGTGCATAAAATGTTGAAGAACGAAAACATTTGGTCTACTACAGTTGAAAAGAGGGCATATGGCTGCAACAGCCTTCAACAAATAATTGGTAGAATGGCAGACCGCCTTATTGTAACTTTAGACAATGTCCTTATTGTAACCTTAGACTATGTCCTAATCGTTACTTTACACTATGTCCTTATTGTAACTTTAAACCAGTGGTTCTCAACCTTTCTATTGCCGCAACCCTTTAATACAGTTGCTCTTGTTGTTGTGACCCCCCACCATAAAATTATTTTCGTTGCTACTTCATAAATATGTATTTCGATGGTCTTAAGCGACCCCTGTGTAGGGGACCCACAGGTTCAGAACCGCTGATGTATCATACTACAATAGTGATCAATCACGACACGTCTAAAGTAAGGTAGCCCCTCCATTTGTCTCCACACAGTTTATTTGGCAGATTGCATCCCATAGCGTAGTCGCCCTCTGTAGGAGGGATATCAATCCAAGTGTACTTTTAGAGTATCAATAAGACGGGATTGTAATCCCCACATTGGCCTAATCCCCACTTGGCCTAATCCCCACTTGGCCTAATCCCCAAAGTTCCAATCCCCAAAAGTAGGGCTTTCTCCTTGATGGTTTTTGACGTTGTATTATTTTTATTTTGATGGCAGATACAGTGTCAGGGGCTGGGGGGCGGCTTTTTTTGTGTGTGTGGGGGGGGGGGGGTAATGCAAAGGTTCTCATTATATAACTTATTAAAGCTCAACATTGGTAGGTGAAAGGGATCAAATTTCATTTTAGGGATTCTGTAAAGTCTCCGTGGTCTTCAAGATATGGACCCCTGGAATAAAATGCCCTTGACTTTAAGGAAAAGAAAATCTACCTGACTTAAGAGAATTACGTTCAACAAGAGAATAAATTCACAAACCTCAGAGAATACTTTTAAAAATTGGTCTCTCTCCAGGGCAGAATTTGATAGGATTTAAATGAAGTTATAAGAAAGAAAAAAAAGCTCTACACGTAGACGGCTTGATTTTCAACACAAGTTTTCTCAAGGGTCGGCCAGAGTCATTGAGATGAAAGCATACGTTATTATATCTATTTCTTAGCTTCAAGTATCTGTTGTTTCTTGCTTTGCCTTGTCTGCCGAAGAAGGCGTTTAGCCGAAACGTCCGTTTAATTGTCCGATCTTTTTTTTCCCAGCCTATTTCATATAGCTCCACCATTTTTTTAACTACTACTACACCTTGAGCGCAGTCCCTCCAATAGTATCAGTTAGTTTTATTAGTTTCTTTGGTTGCTGTACACTTCTTGTTCTTATGAGACATCATTGGCGGATCATGGTGGGGCCTCTTATACGCCCTACCATCTGTGGATCATGGTGGGGCCCCTTACACGCCTTACCATCTGTGGATCATGGTGGGACCCCTTACACGCCCTACCATCTGTGGATCATGGTGGGGCCCCTTACACGCCTTACCATCTGTGGATCATGGTGGGGCCCCTTACACGCCCTACATCTGTGGATCATGGTGGGGCCCCTTACACGCCCTCCCTTTGGGGGATAATGGTGGGACCCTTTTTTTTTCATCCCCCCCCCTCAACCCTTGGATAAAATCAAACTTCACAGGCATGAACCCCCAAACTTCAACACAGAGACTTAACCCCACTAACATCATGTCGACATGTTTAACGGAGTTGACACCAGGACCTGGGGCTCCCATAGTACGTGCCCACTACGGCGTACAGACTTCGTAGGTCGATCTGACCTTTGACCTTACACCCACGCCTACAGTCGCTTAATTTTTTAACAAGCCAGGATTAGAGCTAAAGCTTCATACGTGACACCAGGAAATCTCATAGTGCTGTATGCGTCTAAAAAAGAATTACTTTTTTTTTTGGTGCATAAAATGTTGAAGAACGAAAACATTTGGTCTACTACAGTTGAAAAGAGGGCATATGGCTGCAACAGCCTTCAACAAATAATTGGTAGAATGGCAGACCGCCTTATTGTAACTTTAGACAATGTCCTTATTGTAACCTTAGACTATGTCCTAATCGTTACTTTACACTATGTCCTTATTGTAACTTTAAACCAGTGGTTCTCAACCTTTCTATTGCCGCAACCCTTTAATACAGTTGCTCTTGTTGTTGTGACCCCCCACCATAAAATTATTTTCGTTGCTACTTCATAAATATGTATTTCGATGGTCTTAAGCGACCCCTGTGTAGGGGACCCACAGGTTCAGAACCGCTGATGTATCATACTACAATAGTGATCAATCACGACACGTCTAAAGTAAGGTAGCCCCTCCATTTGTCTCCACACAGTTTATTTGGCAGATTGCATCCCATAGCGTAGTCGCCCTCTGTAGGAGGGATATCAATCCAAGTGTACTTTTAGAGTATCAATAAGACGGGATTGTAATCCCCACATTGGCCTAATCCCCACTTGGCCTAATCCCCACTTGGCCTAATCCCCAAAGTTCCAATCCCCAAAAGTAGGGCTTTCTCCTTGATGGTTTTTGACGTTGTATTATTTTTATTTTGATGGCAGATACAGTGTCAGGGGCTGGGGGGCGGCTTTTTTTGTGTGTGTGGGGGGGGGGGGGAAGGCAAAGGGTCTCATTATTTAACTTATTAAAGCTCAACCTTGGTGGGGGAAAGGGATCAAATTTCATTTTAGGGATTCTGTAAAGTCTCCGTGGTCTTCAAGATATGGACCCCTGGAATAAAATGCCCTTGACTTTAAGGAAAAGAAAATCTACCTGACTTAAGAGAATTACGTTCAACAAGAGAATAAATTCACAAACCTCAGAGAATACTTTTAAAAATTGGTCTCTCTCCAGGGCAGAATTTGATAGGATTTAAATGAAGTTATAAGAAAGAAAAAAAAGCTCTACACGTAGACGGCTTGATTTTCAACACAAGTTTTCTCAAGGGTCGGCCAGAGTCATTGAGATGAAAGCATACGTTATTATATCTATTTCTTAGCTTCAAGTATCTGTTGTTTCTTGCTTTGCCTTGTCTGCCGAAGAAGGCGTTTAGCCGAAACGTCCGTTTAATTGTCCGATCTTTTTTTTCCCAGCCTATTTCATATAGCTCCACCATTTTTTTAACTACTACTACACCTTGAGCGCAGTCCCTCCAATAGTATCAGTTAGTTTTATTAGTTTCTTTGGTTGCTGTACACTTCTTGTTCTTATGAGACATCATTGGCGGATCATGGTGGGGCCTCTTATACGCCCTACCATCTGTGGATCATGGTGGGGCCCCTTACACGCCTTACCATCTGTGGATCATGGTGGGACCCCTTACACGCCCTACCATCTGTGGATCATGGTGGGGCCCCTTACACGCCTTACCATCTGTGGATCATGGTGGGGCCCCTTACACGCCCTACATCTGTGGATCATGGTAGGGCCCCTTACACGCCCTACCATCTGTGGATTATGGTGGGACCCTTACACGCCCTACCATCTGTGGATCATGGTGGGGCCCCTTACACGCCCTACCATCTGTGGATTATGGTGGGACCCTTACACGCCATACCATCTGTGGATCATGGTGGGGACCTTACATGTCCTACCATCTGTGGATCATGGTGGGATCATTACGTGCCCTACCATCTGTGGATCATGGTGGGACCCTTACGTGCCCTACCATCTGTGGATCATGGTGAGGACCTTACGTGCCCTACCATCTGTGGATCATGGTGGGGACCTTACGTGCCCTACCATCTGTGGATCATGGTGGGATCATTACGTGCCCTACCATCTGTGGATCATGGTGGGAGCCTTAAACGCCCTACCATCTTTGTGTGTGATATTTTCGAAAGACACTGTGGTGCCCAAAGTTAGTTATGTTACAAATAATCTAGTTCCTTGTTCCTGTCATTTTATGTGTAAACCCCCCTCCCCCCTCCCCCACACACACTTTTTTTTTCTTATAATCCCACCCGCAGAGAAATATTTCTTGAATTTACAAGACCGGTCACTAGTGGACACGAACATTTGAGTACGAAAGCTGGTGACAGAAAGAAATCTGGTGACAGGAGGAAAGCTGACCACAGGCAAAAAGCTGGTGACAGAAAGAAAGCTGGTGACATAAAGAAAGTTAGTGACAGAAAGAAAGCTGGCAACAGAAAAAAGCTGGCAACAGAAAGAAAGCTGGTGACAGAAAGAAAGCTGGCGACAGAAAAAAAGGTGGTGACAGAAAGAAAGCTGTGACAGAAAGAAAGCTAGTGACAGAAAGAAAGATGGTGACAGAAAGAAAGCTAGTGACAGAAAGAAAGCTGGTGACAGAAAGAAAGCTGGCTATAGAAAGAAAGCTAGTGACAGAAAGAAAGATGGCCATAGAAAGAAAGCTGGCCACAGAAAGAAAGCTGGTGACAGAAAGAAAGCTGGCCACAGAAAGAAAGCTGGTGACAGAAAGAAAGCTGGCGACAGAAAGAAAGCTGGCAACAGAAAGAAAGATGGCCACAGAAAGAAAGCTGGTGACAGAAAGAAGGCTGCCACAGAAAAGAAAACTGGCCACAGAAAGAAAGCTGGTGACAGAAAGAAAGCTGGTGACAGAAAGAAAGCTGGTGACAGAAAGAAAGCTGGTGACAGAAAGAAAGCTGGCCATAGAAAGAAAGCTGACCACAGAAAGAAAGCTAGTGACAGAAAGAATACTGGTGACAGAAAGAAAGCTGGTGACAGAAATTAATGCGGTGGTAGTGGTGGGATGAAGTTGGCACTTGTTGAGTGGCTGAGTGATTTCAACTGAGTTCAATGGTCTGGAGTTCAATCCCCACCAATACCCAGCCACCCAAAAACATCAACAGCACCGCGGGTGAATGGGACTCGTTAACCTTGGATGGCAACTCATCTAAGAGAAGGAAACTCTGAATTCAAACCCGGAGATAGGCGGCTAACATTGACCAAAAAAAATCTAGTTTATGTACTCTTGTAAGTCTTACCGTAATGCCAATATACTCATGTAAGTCTTCCGTAACGCATACAATAATCCACTACATTTCAATATAGCATTGCTTTTTTAAAATAATAATTATTATCATTTAAAATTATTATAAATGGTCGTTAGATCAGCGAACCGCATGCTAAGTTATTTGCACACTCTCGCCCCCCCCCCCCCCCCCCTAATGCCAATATACTCATGTAAGTCTTCCGTAACGCATACAATAATCCACTACATTTCAATATAGCATTGCTTTTTTAAAATAAAAATTATTATCATTTAAAATTATTATAAATGGTCGTTAGATCAGCGAACCGCATGCTAAGTTATTTGCACACTCCCGCCCCCCCCCCCCACCCAAATTCTCCCAATGTGTGAGGATTTTTTGCTGTATCTGCCCCGGGCTCTTTTTTGGAGTTGAGTTTGGTCTCAAGGAAAAATGTATTCTAAATTCTATGCAATTATCAACCCAAACTCTCACAAATGTGATGTCATCATTTATTTGAAAGATAACATTTGCACAAGGGTCAATAAGTTTTAAAATGAATTAACTAGATTTTTGTGAGTTAACTTACCGAAAACTGGCGTCAGTGGCGTAATTCCTTCTCCAAAATCGAACTAAAATTGTAAAAAAATATCCTCCTTGTTTTGTGACTGCTAGAAGTTGAAGCTAAATAAAACAAGTCACAGGTATAACACTGCACCGGTTCACTAATAAAACCGACTGAAAATGTTCTCGGAAATAGAAATTTCCGCTTGAATTTGTAAAGAAATGGGCCGACACACACACACACAAGCTAACAGGACACAGTAGAAATGTCAGTACGATGAAATCAGTCAGGTTATTGCATCGACGGCAGTAGTCAAGTGGATTATTCGACGTGAAACGATCCAATGTTCCGATTTATTTGGACTCTCCCTTTTCGTAGACTCTCCACCGTTATCACTTTAAATAGCTCAAGCTCTGTTCGTCTTGTGGCGGTGTGAGATGGTGCGTCACACAGCGGTATTGTGTCAACGTAGGGGAACAGCTACTGTGCAAAGACGTGCCTTCTTTATAAACTCAAGGTTTCTCAGGATATTTGACGTTGGGGTGGGGAATTTTTTGAGCGTGTCACTGTCACTTTTAAAAACAACAACAACAGCAAAAAACTTTATTTAGAGACGGGGTCTTAACCTGTGCTCCATAGACCCTTTGGTGTTAAATGGTGCCTAAGGGTTGCATTTTTGTTGTGGTTGTAATTTTTACCATATGCATTTAATATGAAGCCCTGGTTTAGGAGAAGCGATCCTTATATATTTAAGATAAAATACAATTTCATTTATATAAAAATTATTGAAAAGTAACGTTTCATAATTTACATATTAAAAAAAATATATATATTTCATTTTTTAAATAAAAAATCCACATTTTGTTTAACTTTTTTTTTTCGTATTCCAGATCTTTAAAATGCAGGGGGGGGTGGGGGGGGGGGTGTCATCTTGAACATTAAATAGGAGGAATTTAGTACATCTGTGTTTTATGTCAAATTATTATTTAATTATTTCTCATTTGAAATTATTTTAAATCCTTAGTAGGTCAGTGAAGTGGACTGGGGAGCAGGGGCATGACCCACTAGAGTAGGTCGTGGCAGGAGGGGCAATGTAGGGGTAACGATAAAGTAAATACCCAGGTTTTTTTAATGATGGGGAAAGGACATTTAGATTAAAGGGAAATAACGTCCCATTACATTGACTTAAAATACTTAAATGGTTTTCTCCCCTTAACCAGCAAATGATTTACACTAGCTAAGCCGAGTGCCAATAGCAACAAATAGCTATTCGAACCCGGCTGGTCACGTGAGGTTGGTCACATGATGGTTATGACGAATACTTCCTGTTGATTTACGACCTTAGTCGCCATTATTATCAAACGAGAAATGTAACCTTATTTTCAAGACTTTCATGTGCCCTGAAGAAACAAAAATGGGACGTAAAGCTGAAGGAAAGTAAGAATACGTTTATGTTTATAATTTTATGATATTTTTTAAATTCTATTTTAAATATAGTTCTATAGTCTATAATCATTAACATGACAATTGACATCAATCAAGATCAAAGTTGCTTTTTTTTTTTTTTTGGCGGCAATTCGGCTACAGTACCGTCTTGGCTCTTGTTGGAACTTATACCCATGACGTCATTTGAATTTGCGTGTTTATTTAATATTTTATACCTTTAATATTTGTGCAGGAGTCGTATATTATTTCTTAAAACGCATTTCGTATTTGATCATGTGAAGTCGCGTGAAGTGTCAACCAAGATGGCGGCCAAAATGTGGTGCAAAACAAGTTATGAAACGATTTTAAGGGTGTCAACTATTTTCATTTTCTAAATTATTAACATTTGTTGGAGGCATAACACTGAAGTAATAGTAATAGCAATAGAAAAATAAAAAAAATTGTTAATAAAAAGAAAACAGTATCATCTATCATAAACAAAGCAACTGTTGGTACTTGGGTAAAATTTTCAAAATTAATTTATTGCTTTAAGAGCTAGTTGGTTAGATAGGGCCTGAAAAATGAAATTCATTGATACCAAATTTATGTTTGTAGGTCAATTCTAAAGAAAAAGAAAGTTATGATTTTTTTCGTGAATTATTTTGGGATAACTCTGTTGATTGAGACATATAGGAAAATATAAAAGTGACTAAAATAAAATTTGGGCAGAGAGTTAGGAGAGATGATAAAAAAGAGCAGTAAATTGAAGTTATTTAATGAATTAATGAAGACAACCATAGCAAACCTTATATATCTGTGATCGTCATAACATTATCCAAACAGACGTCATATAATAAATTCTACGGTACGTAAGATGAGCTCATTAATATTCCAAATGGCCGTAAAATTTCCATATGTCATATTTGAATATGAACCCAACATGAATAATATTCTTCAAAATATAGGGTCATGTATATTAAATTGCTCGTATTGAAAAATAATAAGTAGCACATGGAAGGCTGAACCAATGTGACCATTCAGAAATTTAATTTATTTTATATCTCCGATAGCAAATCAATATCTGATATTAAATGTACAATATGTATATTATAGTAGGAGTTTTTCTTGCATAGGGGTATCTTTCAATTCTATATTCTGTTTGCTAAGTGTACTTTTCTTTACATGTGATACACATGTTTTTTACGTGAATGGTTATTTTTAGCTAAATTAGTCATTGAAATGGCATTCTTTATGCGATGATTAGCTTTCCAACGATACCAAACATGGGGGGTTTCCGCGCAATCAAGTGTTGAAGAATAGGTCATTTGGGGTTAGGTGTGAACAAAAACATAGACCCCCCAACCCCTTCAAATCACAATTATTATGTTAAAATTAATTAATTTTATAATTTTTACTTTATTTAATGATAACAAAGATATTAATCTAACAGAAAATCCAAGGTTTGAAGAATCAATATTTTTTTCAAATTTCCATTATTTTGTAACCCGTGGATCCCCTTAAATACCAAAATCAGAAACAAACAAATTATCTGGGGAGGGGTGACCCCTCCCCAATGTAAAAAAAAAATTAAATAAGAAAGCAGTTGATCCATAAACCTAAGCCAAAGCCACAAGTAATCAGCCGTAAAAAACACATGGACATGGAATTTGAAAATGAACAAAAAACCCCCCAAAAAGGCAAAAAAGAAGCCAAAAATAATTCTAAACAAAGAAATAATGAAGACCCAACTTACAGTTTCATGAAATACACTTTTACACACTTTATTGCAGGTTCCAAATAAAAAAATATGCACAAATGATTGAAGCACAACTGCCGGCATTAGGCCAAAATGTTGAAAAGATGGTGGCGTAAATAAAATATGATAATTAGCCAACCAATGATAATTTAAATTATAAATAATCAACCAATTAAAATTTTAATACAAAAAACGTCATCAGCACTTCCTCCGACAATCAAATAAACAAAGGGGAATGGCTCTTGCACAAATATTGAATAAACCCGCAAATGCCGCCATGGGCACTGTTCTCAATAATAACCAAATCGGCTACAGAGCCGTCTATTGTTGGAACTTTTACCCATGACTCATTTGCGTTTTTATTTAATATTTGTGCAGGAGTCGTATATTATTTCTTAAGGCATTTCGTATTTTATCATGTAAACTTTCGTGTATTCTTTATTAATTAAATACAGGCAGTTATTCAGTTATAGTTAGCCTAACTATAATGCTGAATTTTAAATCACCTTTTTCTTTTTATTTTATTTTAAAGAGTCTTTAAACTTCCCCCAACCAAAGTTACATAGCCCCATTTGTTTTTTGTTTTTTTCCACCCTATGGCCAGATTTTTAACCCCCTATAAGTTAGTATGCTAAACAAAATTTTCAAACTGTAGGCATGTTCACAAAACGCACGAGCGGCCCCCTGCCCCACCGACACTTTCTTTTTTTTCCTCTCAGAGCGTTCGAGAATACGGGTTGTCCCTTGATGTCTTGGTGTGGGGGGTGGGGGGATTAGAAGTGGATCACCGACTAAGGCAGCGGACACACTCGTCATCATTGTCCTGGAGTGAAGCTGAAAAAAACGGGGAGGGTGGGGGTGTCCACGAATATGTGCCAATGTGTGATCACGTGTCCACTTTTAAAAAAGAATATTTGTGGACTTGCAGAAAGGGGGATATCTGATCATTTATTGATAGTCATCTCATACTGAAGGCTGCAAATTCGTTGTCCATGATTGGTCAGCTCTAATTTGAGCATCCCTCCCCTTTTTTCGGATGCAAATGCGCTCATTAATGGTTACTGATTTGCGCTGAGTAAAATGACGATGTCTCGTTTTGAGGTATTGCTGGTAGTGGGATCATTTTGTTCAAAATGGCAGAACAACCAAGAGACAATAATTGAAATTGTTGATCCAACGGAAATTTCAAATGATGCAGCATTTGGTTCATACGCGAACTTTGTGAGGCAACAAATAACGTTAATACAACTATGGAATTTCTTGTAAGGCGCTCGTAACAATTGCTATGTGGCTTGCAAACTGGCTATGTATGAGAGTTCCTTGTAACTACAGGGATCTGGATCTCACTGGAAATGGCATCTCACCAGAAATAGGATCTTACTGGGATCTGGATCTCACCAGAAATGGGATCCCATCGGATTGGGATCTCATTTGGGATCTTACTGGGATCCCACCATGCCCGGGATAGGGATCAATAATGATCTTCCGGACATCGGGATGCCATCAGAAAACGGGAAAAACTAAAGGTTTACATAAGTTATTTTAGAGATAAATTATTATAATTTTTTTAAAATATAGCGCAGACCTGCCAACCCTTCTGATTTTCTCGGAATTTTACAGATTTTTTACCCCTCATACCGACCTTCCGACAAACCCCATAAAATTCAGATTTTCCGAAAATTACATTATAATTTTTCACCCGTCATAAAAATCCGAAAGTGAAAAAAAAAAAGAAAAACGGGTCCGACAGGAAGTCGTGCATTTCAATACTGCCACTTCCTTTGTTTTGATCGAAGCGAACTGCGAATTCCATTCTTCATTCATGACTCATCCTTAGTTTTATTAGGCTTACAGTGGTGTTGTGACTTTTTGTTTGTTTGTTGCTTTAAGCTTTACTTTTCTTATTAAGTGGATAAATTTGTAAAGAGAGCTGCTGAAAAAGCTTTTCCAGTGACCGAGGTTGATAGTGATAGTGCTCCTAACAAAAAAAAACCCGGCATATTTAACATTTTCGAAAGGAGTATTTCGAAAAACACTCATTTATTCTGCCTTCACCCCGTGGCGAAACATTTGCATTCTGCAATCTGTGCCAGACTCACTAATCTATTGAAAGTGGGTGGTACAATGATATTAACTCTTTCCATGCCAGGGGGTATTCCACGTTCGTGCCAGACCAGTTTTCCGCCTACATAATTTTTTTAGGATGCTCTTATCAATTTATTTTAAATACATTTTTTTAGCTATATAGCTGTATTTTATATAAAATTAAAGGAAATTAGACAGAGAATAATAATATGTAAAAGATAAG